TCTGGATGCCATTCGAGGCGAAGGAACTTGGCGGAAAGTATCTAAATCAATTGGGTACCAGGTTTGGAATTTAAATAGAAGAAAATGGAATCCCGAGTGGCTTCCCTTGACAAGAAAGTGGTTCACAGCTTCACAATATCTGGATCGTTGAGGTGAGTGAGAGCAAAGTGGTCCGAGAGCTGATTGGCCAATGGGACCGCGCGTGTCACACCGATGGTGAAGATAAGCTCACCGAGGCCTGATAAGGTCCCCACATGAATTTTTTTGGTTCACGACCGTGAGTTGTTCAACCATCAGTGCGTTCACTACATTGACAAGGCCTACCTCTATGTTAATCGACTGTTAATTTATACTGTCAAGAGAGTAGGATACGCCAATTCTGAACGACACTGCACGAAGCTTAGCCTCCGTCCCAAAATCGAGTGAGACGTCATGGCGCGAGCAGGAAAAGTCGCCAACAAACAGGCAGAGGACAAGGCTGAGGACACCACGAAGCTACCTGTGAGAACAAAGGGTGGAAAGTCTTCATCTTCAAACTCGGCTGCTTCTGCTCCTGGAAATTTGACAGTCTTTGACGACGATGATGATGAGGATGAGGCTGTTTCAAACGAGCCAGCAGCAGAACCGAAAGAGCCAGCAGCACCGCCTCCTCAGGATGAGGATGAGAGCGACAGTGACGATGATGAGGCTCCTGAAGCAATTTCTACCCATCAGGCTGCATCAAGTTTAAAGAAGTCTGCCCAGGCTGCCCAGAAGGCTTCACAAGAGTACGTTGAACCTCCGCTCTGCTAATGCTGAGATGTGCATCACTTACTGACCATTGTTACTGCGTTTTTAGGCAGGCGGCTGCCCAGAAGAGGAAGCGCCAAGAAAGAGACGCCTTATTCAAACAGCAGGCAGAGGAGCGCAAGAAGATCCAGGATGCCACTGAGCCAGCAGCAGAGTCTCAAGACAGCGACAGTCAAGGCGTCGCTGGTCCGTCTGCAAACGGTGTCTCAAGTGGAAGGATACGGGGGGATAAGATCCGGATTCCCGCTGTTCTTCCCGACAAGTTTCTCACTGATTCGTCGAGCGATGAAGAGGACGCTCACCAACTGGATCTAGAGCTGGCTTCGGGTCCCAAGCGCAGAAAAGTCGCCAGCGTGGAACGAAACCTTACTCGCCTCGATCGTGGGCCGCGCGATGAGACGGTCGGTTCAACCGTCTATCGGGTGGCGAGCAAAAATGATCAGAGGCTAGCACCAAAAGCGAAAAAGTACACGAAGAGCGCCAAGGACGTACTGCTAAGGAGGAACCGCACTGCTGTTGCATCTCGGGGTGGTTTCTTCAAGAAATAGATGTCAACTAATGTTACTATATCCGCGGTTCCTCACCAACCGCTGCCTCTGGAGCCCCTTCGAATCCTTACCACTACGTGGCCTTTTACCATTCCAGCCCCGGTTTGAGCTCATGGGAAACGAAGTTTTGCTCAAAGGCACTGTTGGATGTTTCTCTGGACGGATCCCCCTGCCTCGGCGCTGGAATATGTTGCCATCAATGCCAGTGTAGACCACCGTTGGCCAGTTTGGCCATGTTTGGGGAGTGAATAACAAGGAATAAGATTGAGTGAGTTGGCGCAAGAGATACCACAACAAACTAGCAGTTGTCTCTGAATTGGCGTTTCTGGTTTCTACATCATGGGTCGACGATTCTTTTATGGTTATATGTACATACCTACATACATATATAGGCGCACCGGGGATGCGGTCCACTTAGATTTTCCTATGTTTGCATAAAAACCAGGACTTTGGATATCACCAGGGCATGTCTCTCCTCAAACTGACCCAAAGTACAATTGAGTTTGTTCTCGGGCTCGAAATATACACTTCCTGCGCTATGTTCTCTGTCGAAGCCTTGTTGGCTTCCACGCTTCATGCGGATATTGCAAACTATGAAGATGCAGACAAAAATATCAATTCATGTGAGGGGCTTACATCTGTCAAAAGTATATATATTAAGCTTTCCTTGTGCTGCATACGATGCCTCCAGGTGACACTTCTTTCTAGCTTACTTCTTTGATGCGGTGCCTCCATAATGGCAGTACTGATACTCAGATTGCTTTTATTTTGTTTGCTTGTACGAACATCAAGACTCTCCTCTTTGGAATATTTAATGCCCGACATTCCCTTCATTTGTTGAGAATAGCTCACAGTATCATTATTCACTCATTAGGTACTCCTGCCAGGAAGAGATACTGGTGCAACAACTCGGATAATTGATGCAGCCGTAATTGCCTTTGTTCAGTGTCTAGGGTACGTACCTCGGGTTGAAGATTTGCTGCAGGCTTAGCGCCTGTGATGGAATACGAGTAGAACTTGGAAGCCATGGCAGAGACAAAGCTCTCCATGCGGTGTGACCGGACTAGCGCGCAGGAGGGGTTCTGCTGCGTCCCTCATCACATCAAGCAATAGCCAATGATGCTATCATAGCACGCATCTTATGCATCCATCTCGCGGTGGCTTCTCCCGCCGGCCCACCACCAAGTCAACAGACAATAGACACAATATCCATTTAGGCGTAGGGCCGCGATCCCTGAAAGGATAGCTCGACTTCTTCTGCCCTTCATCTCTTGCTTGCCCCTCCACCATCCCGGCCGGCCGCCCCGTGATACGTCAGCAATGGCCTAGCTGGGATGCCCTCTCCAGAGCTTCGCAGCTGCTTCAGGTGACATGCAGCGAGGTGAGGCCACTCATTAGCTGCAGTAGCTTGCCCTTGGCTTGGTGACCGACTGGTAACTTGGCAAGTGGGTGATATTGAAATTGAGACACTCAAACATTAAGCTACTTATTTTCAAGTCTGCGATCGGTATTATCAGATTATTGAGTGTTAATAATATATACCACAGAGATAATATAGCGGATATTACCACTTTATTTCATTTTATACTACTAGATTTCTCTATTAATTGTAGAAAGCAGTCTGTTTATCACTGACTCTTCCATTAGGTGTCTCATTTCTCCTGTCACCCACTTGCTTGGCTAGCAGGCTCCATGATGTGACACAAAGCAATGCGTCCCCGTGGCCCGGCGCCTTGGCGCAGCGGCCGGACGAACATCCCACGAGCAACAGACGCACTAAGCCAGGCCCTATTGTTGCACTGGACCTGACTCGCAACGGTGGAAACTCCGAATAGCGCTATTGGCATGCTAGCTTTATCTTCTTTCTCTTTGTTTTTCAATCCCCTCCTCTGCATATCCACGCATCAGGCCATGATTATCACAGACACATCTGTAGACCAGCACGAACCGGACTTCGCGCCGCCACGTGGTGGAAATCAAGCCGTGCTTATGCCCAAGACCCTTAGTCGTGACCTGTCCTGCTAATTGGACTCGGCTAACGAACGGTAGTGGGTTTTTTTCCGACTGGGTCACCTCCATGGTGTGGCTAATGCGTGCCCTTGAAGCGTGCTCAATACACTGAAAAGACCATCGTTTATTGCATCTCGGGCACCTTGATTCCTGAACTCGCTAATAATAACAAGAGAAGACGTGGAGACGAAGCCAAGTGCCCACAATGGTTGTTCAATGGGCCATAGACCTCAAGCGTCTGCAAAACGAGCGTAGAAGGTAGAATATTAATAGCAGTATTCCAGAATGGCAGTTGGAAGAACCAACCAATGATCGAGAACATCAATATGCATTGGATGTTGCGTCTTTCTGTATTACTCAGAAGAATCCAGTGTATTCATATATAGAACATGACGAAACCAACTGAAGAAGCTCTGTCCACACGTAACAGCGGAACCCCTGGTTCAGAGGATAGAGACCCTGCCGATTCTGCAGCCAATTAACACCATGCATGTGTCTAACCGTCTTGAGTGAAGGCCTCAACTCAGCCCGCCGACGCGGATCATTCATTCTGCCCCTGGGCCGATCGTCGTGCGCGTGTTGGTTTGGGAGTGTCAATTCATTTAGCTATATCGCTGGGGCGCAAACTTCGGCGTGCGCGAGTCAAGCTCAGCACGTAACACGAGATTTGACCGCTTGCCCTGCCCATCGCATTCGATCAATCCGCGAGAGTGACTCCAGCAGTATGGTTGGGCACGGCGAAAAGAAATGGCTGGGGCAAGGCACACCCTCGCAGCCGGTTACCCTAGGCGTAGATTGACCCTGCGATCGGCAATGCTAGAAAGAATCGAGTGCTCTGGAGCGCGACGAGGAAAATGAGCGGGAGTGCTTCGTTGGTCCCAAAGCCTGCTCGGGACATTTGACCTTCATTGGGATGTGCACCGATGGTGGTTACTTGTGCTCCTTGTCTTCCATGCCCCTGATTTTTCTTCAAGGTCGGTATCATTGCGGCTGCCACCGCTATTTGCTTCGTCGGCCATGATGCATGGTGATTCTCCATCATGGGGATGCATATATGCATGCGCAGGCAAGCTCCTACCATACAGCAATTTATTGGCATGTCGGTGTTAATGCGCGGGCCACTCCTGTCTTCACCTGCGAAGACGGACTAGAAGCCCCATCTGAATTTCATATGCAGAGTTATTTAGGCCGTGGGAAGTGTTTTTCTTCTTCTTCTTCATAGCGGGGACCATATAACTGGATTGATCAATTGCATTGATCGTCCATTGCCGAAGTAGATTCTCAATAGGTGCTAGTCTGCGCTCTTCAATCCCCGCCCTCTTGCATGATTCTTACTTGGGGAGAGGGAGAGGGGAGGAGGAAGAGGCAGACCATACTGTACATCTGAGGGTAATGGTATGTTTTGTTCCGAGTGGCACCTTGTAACCCCTCGAATTCCCAAAGGAACGTGGGCGGGCAAATTAAGTCACTGGCGCGATTAATGATACTGAGGGCCAAACCATTATGTACGATCCGCTCGCCTCGGGTGCCCATATCGATGGACGTGACAGGCAAGGCATGGGTAGGTAACTCTCGTCTGGGCTTCCCTCCACACCAGAGCAAAAGCTCCCCGGGGCCTGAGGTGTCTTGCTTGAACCAGTGGGTGGGGACATGCTAGTGGTAGTAGACCCAATGCAACGGTCCCAGGGTGATTTGGCCCCTTGCCAGGACGGAGTTGGAATGGACAGCGGGTGTGGCTAGACGTAGCTTTGAGCGAGTTGGCTGCAGAGCAGTGCGGCCTCTGAGGAACAGGAGAGTGCTGATGCGTTCATGGCTGTGCCAGCCAGTTCGTCTGGGCTCTGCTCTAGGAGACGGCAGGCAGGCAAGGATAGGATCACCTGTTTTCGGGGTTTCAATTGACGAGAAATAGAAGATCTCATCCCGATTGAGCAAGAGGCTATAGGCAGAGGCTTGAGGCTACAACGTACCATACACACTATGGGCGTACCAGCAGCAGCAGTAGCAAGGTACGCCTGCAGTGTTGCCCCCATCCTGGCTGCCTCAAGAGGCAAGGTACACGAAAGCACAAGCTGCATCCCCATGTCGGCTTCTTGGCTGCCGGGAAGCGAGCCGCTCCCGTAGGTAGTGAAGATGCCCTGCCAGCGCCCAAGCCTCGGGGGGCATGGCCCTCTGCCAGTAGCCGTCAGCGGATAACAGCGAAGTCGAAGGAATGTTGGCACATGAGGACCACCTATTCGAATATTCCTTCGATTCCTTTGCCTTCGCGGGCCGATGGGTCAGCAGATCTCGTGTTAGGTGCTACAGATGCAAAGAACCGCCGGGTGCATTTCGGGAGCGATCAATAATTGCAAATTATCAGCAACCAGGCCAGGCATGGGTGCTGGACAGTTAACTTGAACAGGCCAGGCAGGCCCTGCTGGGGTCCTGGATGATATTAACAGGTGCACTCACCTAATGGCCCTTAATTGCAGTACTTCGTACTGCGGCTCTGGCGCTAGATCGATACCTAAGAGGGGGCTTGGTCTGGCCTACAGTGGATGTATTATCATAAAATGAAAGTACACCCCTACGTACAGGTATGTTCGTATGTATGGCCGCAATACTGGGAAGGGTCGCCTGTGTGGTGGCAAGAACATCTATCAGTTTGCTCAAAGGGAAGGAAGAGAGCTCAATCTGTCGCTTGGACGGAAGGTGCCCCTGAGAGGCAACTGGGCTATGCACCTCAGGGAAGTTGCAGAGGACTGACTACCTACTAGCAGTTTGCAGCAGAATGCGAAGCTAATGGTTTGGATGAGGGAGACTTGCGATCACCACTAGGAGCACCCGAAGTCGGAGTAATTCGCCCAGTGACATGGCTTATGCATAATAACCGCCAAGTTCAGCTGAGACATGGCCAGGGCCCGTCATTCGATGGAGGAGAACCGCGTCTAGTTTTGGTGTTGGCTGTGCATCTGTCTCCCTCTAGGCGCTTAGTGCGCACGTCGCAGCGGCGGCAACACACCGCACAAGGCTTCAGCTGGGATTGCTGCCAGGGTGTCTCGCATCATTGACGGATGACATGACTCCAGTCCTGCCAGGATTCTCGTTTTCCCGTGTAGGAATTCCAAGCGGGGCATGCACTACCGCGGTCATCTTTACACCTTCTTCCACTGGACTACATAGGCGCCGCGGGCTTATCAACCACCGTCGCGATCTCAATCTCAGCTCGCCGCTTGCTAGGATGCAGAGACGAAAAGAGTATTGGATCATGTGTTTGCTGTATGCTGATTCGTTGCGGCAACCTCTTCCAAGCTTGGGGTGAGAGAGAGGCTGACTCACCCCTATAGGGTCGACCTCTCGTGTCTCGGAACTGCTTTCGTAGCGGTGCTGATCAATATGTGGTCGGCAGTGATACATAGGAACACGAGGGTGGTGTGGATTTTTCAAGTGAGCCTGTCTGGTTCGCAAGATTCGTCCTCGAGTTGCATGGGCGCCAATGTACGCTCTCTGCCTGCATGCTGTCAACGCAGCGTTACATTCAAGAGGCAGGATTCGTTATGCCGCGCCAGAGTATCACTTCGGACGCACCTCTGAGACATGATAGGGCAGAGCACTGCCACCCTCCACAGCTGTTGACCGGATTTTATCGATTAGCGCCCCTCTCCAGTGTGGAAGCCCAAGGCGCCCGCTCTGAATGGAGGAACAAAACTTATGACGTCTGATGCATTTGGCCAACGAGACTTATTCAGATCGATCTTATCGGTAGGTCAGAGCCAGTGAGAGTTTCGACATGGACAGTATAAATTGGTCTGTTCTTTGCGATATCTTGTGTACAACTAACTTAGTGACGCTAGTTGCATTTGAGGCGACCGGCGGTACTATTCGAAAAAGAAACGGTAAAGAAAAAGCACTCAACTGATATTTAGCGTGATGTTTCTTTTGCCGTGTCGAGAATATGCCTTGGGGGCATATATTACATGAGACGATGTCACCTAGGTACCTTGGTATCGACTGCCAATGTATGCCAAGTCTGGTGTGGTAGAGGTGGCGAGGCAATCTTATCTGGTGTCTGCGACAGCTACGTATGGGCAATAAGCTCGCACCTTTGACTGGAGTGTATTACTGCAGATAGAGATCCAATCTGGCAGCAGATATCCCATGGCTTACGCCCATTGAGCACTGACATGTGCATGTCTTACGCCAGCACCACCACGAGTGACCGCACGGCCCTTAGGCCTCGTGCCAACCAGGAACGTGAGCCGCCCTGCATGAAGGAAACTCGAAGATCAGGCAGGACCGACCTTGGCGCCATCGTCAGTCCCACCAGGACGCGGAGACAATCAGCAGCATTGCAGACCCAGCCCTGAGTGTTTGGGCTGCCCGAGTTAGTCAGTGAAGAATGAAGAATGGGGATTCCTGACAAGTAGCCCGAGAGCTTGGATGTGGAAGTTTAGCAGGGAATCTGAGGTCAAACGCTTTAGCCTGGCGGGGAACCAGGCCTGATGGCCCTGGCCGCATCGTGCTGTCGCCGGCTGAGCGTGTCTCTTTGCTAGTGCCCACTCAAGACCACTTCACCCAATCCGCTAGCAGCCACGCATGGATGGACATCTGCTGGCAGGGTAGGCCTACTAACGTGCTAGGTGGTTGCTGGGATTAGCCAATGTTAGGTCACTGGGCTCCCCCCCCGCCGCCCCGTAGGACTGGCTTCTCAGCCCGGGCCAACGTTGGGAACTAGCGGGCAGCAAGGGAGCCCCAGAACAGTCACCATCAAACCGCGTGATAAGGTGCGGACAATAAAAAGAGGCCTGGGCTGGCCAATGTCCTTCGTTGCATACCCGATGATGTTATATTTTAGTTGGTATTCTTCACGGCGCCATCCAACGACAGGCGCAAACGAGTGTGAGCTGGATGCTTTGTTAGAGCTTAGATAGCAGGTACACAGGCTAGATTTATTAGTCGAAGACCCAGGGCAGCCCCACCAACCCCCCTGGACTGGTACCTGCCTGTTCGGTAGGCCTTCTCATAGATTTTTCGAACCTTCCACGGGCCGGTGTCAGGTTCCACCCGCCAGGTACCAAAGTGGTGACCTTGAAGCACAGTGCTAATTGCCCAGTGCCAGTCCTGCTGTCGGGACGTGGGATCTGCCAGTTACATCCATCACATCACCACCACTCTCACCACCACCGTATCCTTACTATTGGTTCCGTTCTCCCTTATTACCTGAGCAATGACATTCGCCTAATAAACTGGGAGCCATTGCCTGCTAATTTATTTTAATTATGTGTACCGCTCAGAGATGAGAGTGCGCCGCCCTGGATGAGCTCTGCCTTTCAACTGAATTGTCTTCTGATACACCCCCCCTGAAACAGTTGTCCCCTTTTCGTTTCATAGGCTGACTCCGAGTGCTACTATGTCTGGCACCGAGGGCACAATTGACAGCCCAGGTCGCCGATTATAGCAATGCTCCATGAGCATCTGCATACCCGTCCTGCTCGCCTACTACCTCCAAACAAGCATTAACCTATGTAGGGGCGCGGCATGGACAAGTCTCCAGCCTGGACGAGAACGAGCATGTACGGCACATGCGATGGTGGGTGGATGCTGCCTGCATCTTGGTGTGGTCTGTATTATCCTATGCTCTCTGCTCTGCTTTTCAGCACGCGGGGTCATTCGAAACATGACCTCCCACCGACGTGCGGTCTCAAAACGTAACAGGGCGCAGCTTAGCGTCATGGCTTATTTGGGAGTTGAGGCATGAGGGCTTCCATTTGAATGTATTTTTTGCTCTCATACACTTGTGTCCGTGTGAGAGCTTTTGTCCCGCTGCACAGAGAGCGTCCAATGTCCATACAGCCGGGTGCAGCAAGGCAAGGTCAAGCCAAGCCCATGGTGGTGGTACGCAAGCCATGATGGATGGATCTCGTACAATTTTGCCAGTCCCTATTTCTCCTAGTCGCCTTTTGGGCGGGGGTGGGCGCCTGGAGATCTCCAATGCCACGAGTCTAACGTTGAACACCACTGTTTTAACCTATTCCCTACGACCAGCCAGCCAGCAGCATGCAGGTTGGCCTGGCCCCCGGACGTACTCGCATGCTTGTGTCCCAGATATCCTTGAAGTACAAACCAGCACAGTAAACCTGCTGCCTCGTCTCTGCAACGTGCGTGTCGGAGATGACTGGCTCGCGTGCGTGGAACAACCCGGCTCGGGGCAGTTGGCTGCTGGCTCGGCCACGGTGAAGAGCCTGACCGAAGTGGTCTCTGCTGGTGGTTCTTGGATTGATCCATGCCAGAAACCTAACCTGCCTGCCGCGACCGCCATTGCCGAGTACATGCCTCCATCGTCCAAGCTCTACCGGGTGGGTAGGTAAGTAGAATTGAGGGATCCAATTGATTGACCGATGCACCTGGACGGGCGACAGGGACCACGCCCGTACAGTGTGGATTGGGGCCAGCGCAGCTTGGGGGAGGTACCTGCCAGGACTGCTAGTACCGCTAGGCCAATCTACGTACCCGCGCACACCTCAGCCAGCACGCTACTGTACGCTTGTAATTACAAGTCGCCCCAGACCTAACTGGGGCCCTCTCTCTGTGTCAAGGATCAGGGAGTCCCCCCCAACCTTCCACTTGTCTGAAGACTCCTCCGGAATTCCCTGGGTGAAGCTCCTCTTGAGCGACCCCCTTTATCAGCGCCTGGTTCCTGCATCTGATTTCCACAACCAAGAAACCCAAGGTTCCCAGCAGTCAGTGCTGTCCAGCAACAGCCCTGGCCTGTCTTTTTGCCTAAGGTGAGGTGGTCCTCTCTTCCCTCTTCATCCCCCTCCCCGTCCTGTCCTGGCACTTTCCCTGCCTTCTGCATTAAGCCCTTGCTGGCGTTGTGCAGGTATCGATTTTCCCGCGCGCCCTCATCTGGCCTGCACCCAATTTATCGCCTTTCGCCCTTTGGGTCCGCTTCTTTCTCTCTCCTCCACAACTTGTCCCGCGTATCTCCAGTGCCTCCTCTTTCGCTGTCCGCCCAACTTGTCTGGTAATGCTCACGACTGCTTACGCGCTC